GTCTGGCTCACCTAAAATATTGACTCCCTGGCCCTTTATAGAAAAAGTTTGTTCACTCCTGTTAATCCAAAGCTGTGACCAAAAGTGCAAAAGCATAAAGTTCTTCAGCTTCTAGGAAGAGGACACCTACTTTAAATACGCTCACTTTCCTTCACTTACCAAAGTGCAGTTGTCTGGTGTGGGATTTCCTGACTCAACCCGGACAGTGCTACAGTGCATCAAAAACCCAATTTAGGCTGGGCTTAGTGGTTCACACGTATAATCCCAGCACTTTGGGAGGCTGAGGCAGGAGGCTTGCTTGCACCAAGGAGGCCAGCCTAGATAACAGTGAGACCTCCAACTCAATTTACAGAATTAAACCCTGGCTGGGGGTGGTGGCTCACACCTGTAATCCTAGCACTTTGGGAGGCTGAGGTGGGTGGATTGCCTGAGCTCAAGAGTTCAAGACCAGCCTGGGCAACATGATGAAACCCCATCTCTACTAAAATACAAAAAATTAGCTGGGCGTGGAGGCATGTGCCTGTATTCCCAGCTACTTGGGAGGCTGAGACAAGAGAATCGCTTGAACCTGTCAGGCGGAGGTTGCAGCGAGCCGAGATTGTGTCATTGCACTCCAACCTGGGTGACAGAGCGAGACTCCATCTCAAAAAAAAAAAAGGAATTAAACCCCAATTTACAGAAACACAAACAAGTCGCTACCCATATACAAAGACAATAGGTGACTACTGCAGATAAAGTTGTATCTTTACATACAACTTGTTTTTTGAGACGGAGTTTTGCTCTGTCACCCAGGCTGGAGTGCAGTGGCACAATCTGAGCTCACTGCAGCCTCCGCTTCCTGGGTTCAAGTGATTCTCCTGCCTCAGCCTCCTGAGTAGCTGGGATTAACCAGGCGCCCACCACCACGCCTGGTTAATTTTTGTATTATTAGTAGAGACAGGGTTTCACCATGTTGGCCAGGCTGGTCTTAAACTCCTGACCTCAAGTGATCCACCCACTTCGGCCTCCCAAAGTGCTGATATTACAGGCGTGAGCCACCGCAACCAGCCTACATAGTTTATCAAGAGTTTTACAGCCGTGTAAAATGTGAACAAGAGCTCCCAAAGTATGTGACGCTATAGATACATTACTGTCAGAGGTAAGTACCAGTTCATTTACCAGGCAGCATCCAAAGGATTTTTTGGACTCACTCTCTAACAGTTCTGCTCCAAAATGACAAAATATTGAAATCAAAGAATGTACTTTCTTCCAGTTCATCTATACCTGGTACAAAGACAGTCTCTCCTGGTTTTTGTAAGATTTCCAGGGGTTTGAATTCAGGTGGCCAGGTTGGAAGCTGTGTTCGGGGATAAATAACATTAAACCAGGTAATGGCTTCGTCTTGCTGGTTCCCTCCTTCCTCTCGGGTCACCTTGATGAGTTCCCTGGGAGTGCTAGTAGGAAACAGGCACCAGCGCTTGTGGCCCTGAACTAAGGCATTCCAGGCACTGGTTCCCAGAGGGTCGATGTGAATCCCAGTTCCAGAGCGTGGTGGCCCCATCACAAACCACCTACAGAATGGAGATATCCAAGATGTGAAGTGTAATTTAGTTACACATATACCACACAAAACAGTAAGTTTTTAGTTTTTCTTTTTTTTGAGAGAGTCTTGCTCTATCACTCAGGCTGGAATGCAGTGGTGTGATCTTGGCTGACGGCAACCTCTGCTTCCCCAGGTTCATGCAATTCTCCTGCCTTTGCCTCCTGAGTAGCTGGGATTAGAGGCGCATGCCACCATGCCTGGCTAATTTTTGTATTTTTAGTAGAGGCAGGGTTTCACCATGTTGGTCAGGCTGGTCTCGAACTCCTGGCCTCAAGTGATCAACCACCTTGGGCTCCCAAAGTGCTGGAATAACAGGGTTGAGCCATGGCACCTGGCCAGGTTTTAATTTTGTGATATATTATATCATCTTTATTTCAGAGATTATATAAATTCTGGTACACAGCAACACTGAGTGCATTTTTCATGGACTGATTCCTAACAAAATAAGAAAAATCAGCTGGGGCGGTAGCTCACGCCTATAATCCCAGCACTTTGGGAGGCCGAGGCAGGTGCATCACCTGAGGTCAGGAGTTCGAGACCAGGCTAACCAATATGGTGAAACCCCATCTCTACTAAAAATACAAAAATTAGCTGGGTGTGGTGGTGGGCACCTGTAACCCCAACTACTCAGGAGGCTGAGACAGAAGGATTGCTTGAACCCGGGAGGTGGAGGCTGCAGTGAGCCGAGATCGTGCCACTGCACTCCAGCCTGGGCGACAGAGGGAGACTCCATCTCAATACAGAAAAAAAAAGAAAAAAGAAAAGAGGCCGGGCGCGGTGGCTCAAGCCTGTAATCCCAGCACTTTGGGAGGCCGAGACGGGTGGATCACGAGGTCAGGAGATTGAGACCATCCTGGCTAACACGGTGAAACCCCCTCTCTACTAAAAAATACAAAAAACTAGCCAGGCGAGGTGGTGGGCGCCTGTAGTCCCACCTACTGGGGAGGCTGAGGCAGGAGAATGGCATAAACCCGGGAGGCGGAGCTTGCAGTGAGCTGAGATCTGGCCACTGCACTCCAGCCTGGGTGACAGAGCGAGAGTCCGTCTCAAAAAAAAAAAAAAAAAAAAAAGAAAAATCACTAATGTGGTTTATTGCTGGACTTCATTAAAATTTCCCTTAGAGATCAGTGGTTCAGCTGGGCGCAGGGGCTCAAGCCTGTAATCCCAGCACTTTGGGAGGCCGAGGCGGGCGGATCACGAGGTCAGGAGATCGAGACCATCCTGGCTAACATGGTGAAACCCCGTCTCTACTAAAAATACAAAAAAAAAAAAAAAAATTAGCCGGGTGTGGTGGCGGGCACCTGTAGTCCCAGCTACTCCAGAGACTGAGGCAGTAGAATGGCGTCAACCCAGGAGGCGGAGCTTGCAATGAGCCGAGATCGCGCCACTGCACTCCAGCCTGGGCGATAGAGCAAGACTCCATATCAAAAAAAAAAAAAAAGAGAGATCAGTGATTCAACTTTAGCTGCACATTCAGGTCACCTGAAGAGTTTTCAGAAATTCTGAAGAGCTTTCAGAAATTCTGATGCCCAGGCATCACCCGAATTAAACCAGTCTCCCCAGCAGGGCCCAGACAGGCCTCAGGAGCCCCCTAAGTGAGTTCAATGTACAGCCGAGGGAGTACTCACTGTTTCGAAAAAAGATTACCAACTGAACTCAGTGAGCAAATGCTGTTGTAGATAAGATTTTAACCACAGGCCGGGCGCGTAGCTCACACCTGCAATCGCACCACTTTGGGAGGCTGAGGCGGGCGGATCACCTGAAGTCGGGAGTTCCAGACCAGCCTGACCAACATGGTGAAACCCCGTATCTACTAAAAATACAAAATTAACTGGGCTTGGTGGGGCATGCCTGTAATCCCAATTACTCAGGAGGCTGAGGCAGGATAATCGCTTGAACCCGGGAGATGGAGATTGCCGGGAGCCGAGATCGCAACACTGCACTGCAGTCTGGGCAACAAGAGTGAAACTCCGTCTCAAAAAAAAAGATTTTAACCACTTAGCTGCAGAATACTTTACCTGTAAGGAGGCCTGCGCTTCTCCCCAGCATACTGGAAAAGGTCATCAGTGAAAAACTTGGGCACCTTGTAGTCTTCCAAAAGTTTCCTTCTTTTAGGGTGTTCACCATAGCTGCTGTCAAAGATGTAAAGGGGACTGTCATCTCGAGTGCTCTCCATGTACTCAATGTAGTATTTCATCTTCATCTTCACTGAGTAGCCATCGTTATCCTCACCACACTTGAACTTCTGGTTCCGATATTTCCTTTTCAGGCGCTCCAGAGTCCATTTCTCCTGCGCAGACCAGCCCTCTTGTGCATTCAACAAAACCACGGGCTTGTAAGGTCTTTCATACCGCTCCACAAACTCTTCCACAGACAGCTGTAAAGCATCTGCCCTTTCCACGTTATCCTGAGGGAATTAGAAAAGACCTGTCCAGTTAAAAAAAAAAAAAAAAGTCCAGTGGCAGATAAAGGTGTCCCCAAGGCTAATTGGTAATGGCAAACCGAAGGAAGTTGACTCTCATCTGGCTCCTCCGGGGTGGGGGGAGGGCGCGTGCGTGAGGCCACGTAGTTCCTACAGCCACCCCCTCGAGAGCCTTGACAGCCAGGTCCCCGAGGGGACCCGCCGCCCAAAGGAGTCAGGGACGACCGGCCTTCTAGTTGAGAGCGCCACAGGCATGGGACTCCCGTCGTCCGCCGGAGCAGACGAGCGGCCACAGCATGGGAGGAATCAGGCCCGCCCCGGAATCCGCGCCTCGGGGACCCCAAACTCCGCGGGGTGCGGCTGAGCCTCTACAAGGTCCCGGGTGCCGCGCTCGGGGCGACGGCAGCCCCGGGCCCAGAGAAAAGTGCGCAGCGGCTGGAGGTGCCGATGCCCGGCCTGGCCACCCCCGCCCGACCCGCTCACCGCCACGGCCGCCGGGCTCAGCGAGAAGCTCTCGTAGTAGTTGTGCCGGGTCCAATCCAGCGAGTCCTTGAGCTCCGGCCGCGCACTCCGCTTGGCCTCGCGGATGCGCTTCTTGCTCTTGTGGTTCATTCTGCGGGGTCGCCAGCTGGTTCCGCTACGACCTCGGCGCAGCCCGCTTCCTGCCACTAACGCACCCCTCCCCGGCCTGGGCGGCGGCGACGGCGGCAGCACCAAAACGCCCTTCGCTCAGTCCCGGCGCCTTTAAAATCGCCTTCCAGAAAATTCACTCCCCAGCCACCTCCCGAGTCTCGGGTTGGGCAAGCGGCCGCTGTCTTCCCCGCCCCCACGCCTCTCGCGGTCTGCCATTGGCTTCGGCGCCCCTGGGGTCCGCCCTCACACACGGCGGGCCTTCGCCATGTTGGGAAGGTCACGTCGGCTGCGTCACTGCCCCGCCCCGCCCCTCCCGCCCGTCCGCTGTGCGCATCACTTCCGGTCGCGCCAGCCGCCGGTTGCCAGTCCTGCGAATCTGTGTCTCTTTCGCCTTGCTCCGGGGTTTCTTCGCTTGCAGCGCGGCAGGGTTATCACCAGCGCCGTGCTTTCCCTTTCTTGCAGTCAGGTGCTAGAGCCACGTGGCCGGGGGCTTCCCGCTTGCGCAGCCTGGCAGCCCGGCGCCTTCCACGGTCCCCCGCCCACCCGGGGCCCAACGACGCCCCCCTGAGCGAGCACGATTTCCGAGGACAGGGGGTCCGGGCCCAGCGCTTTCGATTCTCGGAGGAGCCGGGCCCGGGAGCCGACGGGGCCGTCCTGGAGGTCCATGTCCCGCAGGTGCGTGCAGCAGCACCCGCCGGGAGGCGCCTGAGGGCAGGAGCGGTTCTCTGCTGACTTGGCGGGGGTCCTGAGGGACGGCGGGATGCGGACGCTCAGCTGCGCAGCTTCCTGCTTTAGGTTGGCCCCCGGAGCGAAAACGTCGGATATGAGTCCCTTCGGTGCATTAAATGTCTCTCAGTAAGAATTTTGGAGACCCTGCCAAGAAGTGACCCTGGTCACTATGTTGGTCAGGCTGGTCTCGAACTGTAAGCTTAAGTGATCCTCCCGCCTCGACCTCCCACAGTGCTAGGATTACAGGCGTTAGCTTCCGCGCCGGGCCGGCTTTCTCCACATCGAATCTCTCTTTCCAGGAAAGTGACATTCTTGACTGACCTCTAATGCTTCTTTTGATCTTGTTCAAGGGTTTCTTGATTCATCCTTCTCTCTCACTTTTGTGTGAGTTTTGGGACCAGGGTTTCCAGTTTTATTTGGTGCCCTAATAGTTTTTTCGGTTGGACCTCGCTTCTTTCTCTAAGCTCACAGCTGCCACAAAACTCTCAATGATAATTCTTTTTCTTTTCTTTTTTTTGAGACACTGTCTCGCTCTGGCGCCCAGGCTGGAGCACAGTGGCGCGATCACAGCTCACTGCAACCTCCAACTCCTGGGTTCAAGTGATCCTCCCGCCTGCCTAAGTGCTGGAATTACAGGAGTGAGCCACCATGCCCTGCCTGTCTTCGGTTTTTCAAAGCACTTTCACGTTGCTGTATTTCATTTGGTTTTAACAGCAGCTTGTGAGGCATGTCCCATGCTAAAGAAACAGCTTTAGAGAAGTTAAATGGCAGGCAGAGGCGGGAGGATCGCTTGGGACCAGGAGTTTGAGACCAGCCTGGGCAATATAGTGATACTACGTCTCTACAAAAAATAGAAAAATTAGTCAGGCATGGTGGCGTGTGCCTGTAGTTCCAGCTATTCCGGAGGCTGAGGTGGGAGGATTGCTTGAGCCAGAGAGGTCAAGGCTGCTGTGAGCTACGATCAGGCCACTGCACTCAGGCATGAGCAACAGAGCAAGACCTTGTCAAAAAGAGGGAAAAAAACAAAAGATTGGAGTGGAGGGTATTTCTGATTGTCTCCAAACAGCTTCACGTTTTATTGTTTTTGACCCAGACGCTGGCTCTCTTGCCCTGGAGTGCAGTGGTGGGCTCACTGCAACCTCAACCTCGGGCTCAAGTGATCCTCCCACCTCAGCCTTTCAAGTAACAGACTACAGGCGTCGGCCACCATACCTAATCTGGCTTCAGGGATTTTTTTTTTCTTTTTTTTTTTTTGGAGACGGAGTCTTGCTCTGTCTCCCAGACTGCAGTGCAATGGCATGATCTCGGCTCACTGCAACCTCCGCCTCCCGGGTTCAAGTGATTCTCCTGCCTCAGCCTCTCGAGTAGCTGGGATTACAGGCGCCCGCCACCATGCCTGGCTAATTTTTGTATTTTTAGTAGAGACGGGGTTTTGCCATGTTGGCCAAGCTGGTCTTGAACTCCTGACCTCAGGAGATCCACCCCCCTCAGCCTTCCAAAGTGCTGGGATTACAGGCGTGAGCCACCGCGCCCGGCTGGCTTCACGTTTAAATACACTTGCATTTCCTCCTAAATATAGGGGGTGATGGTACTGCCTGTGAGAATAGAAGCCTCTTTTTTTTTTTTTGGAGTTGGAGTCTTGCTCTGTCACCCAAACTGGAGTGCAGTGGCATGATCTCGGCTCACCGCAAGCTCCGCCTCCCGGGTTCACGCCATTCTCCTGCCTCAGCTTCCGGAGTAGCTGGGACTACAGGCGCTCACCACCACGCCCGGCTAATTTTTTTTGTATTTTTTAGTAGAGACGGGGTTTCACCGTGTTAGCCAGGATGGTCTCGATCTCCTGACCTCATGATCCGCCCGCCTCGGCTTCCCAAAGTGCTGGGATTACAGGCGTGACCCACCGCGCCCGGCCTGTGTTTTTTTTTTTTTTTTTGAAACGTAGTGTCACTGTTTCCCAGGCTGGAGTGCAGTGGCGCAATCTCGGCTCATTGCAACCTCCGCCTCCGGTGTTCAAGCGATTTTCTCGCCTCAGCCTCCCGAGTCGCTGGGATTACAGGCACGTGCCACCACGCCCGGCGAATTTTTTTGTATTTTTAGTAGAGACGGGGGTCTGTGTTAATTTGGCTGGTCTCAAACTCCTGACCTCAGGTGATCCGCCTGCCTCAGCCTCCCAAAGTGCTGGGATCACAGGCGTGAGCCACCGCACCCGGCCCCTGACTAAAACTATCTTATTTGCTTGCTTGTTGCCTGTCTCTCTACAGTAGGGTATGTGCTCAGGGAGAGCTACATCCCCAGTCTAAGAATGGTCCCTGATACTCTGACACTAGAAGCACTTGTTGAATGAAGAATGCTATCAAGAGTTTCTATCACATTGCATTGCAGTTTTATATTCCCAAAGGTCATGGATTGGTGAACAGGGTTGCCATTTTTGTAATGGATGCCAATGCCTGACAGAAATTGCTGTATAAATGATTCCAACTTCCAGCAGCTAAATTATTTATGGCACACAAAAACATTCTTTTCAGGTCCTGCATCTCCAGTATGGAATGTATGTTTGGCCCTGTGCTGTGGTCCTGGCCCAGTACCTTTGGTTTCACAGAAGATCTCTGCCAGGCAAGGCCATCTTAGAGGTACAGATGCCCCTGAAGTTTCCAGAGTTCTGGGTTATGTTCAGATGTGTTAAGTTTACATGTGTATATTGCTTGTTATTAGCTTTTGTTAAGTATTTTTAAATTGGGTAATTTAACTAGTTTGTAAGGTCTGTGAGCTAAGAATGTTTTGTTTTTGTCTTAAGGTACAGAGATAATCCTGGAACTTTTTTCATTTAAAAAGTGGTTTTTTTGGCTGGGCACGGTGGCTCACGCCTGTAATCCCAGCATTTTGGGAGGCCGAGGCGGGGGCATCATTTGAGGTCAGGAGTTTGAGACCAGCCTGGCCAACATGGTGAAACCCTTTCTCTACTAAAAATACAAAAATTAGCCAGGCACAGTGGTGCATGCCTGTAATCCCAGCTACTTGGGAGGCTGAAACAGGAGAATTGCTTGAACCCTGGAGGCAGAGGTTGCAGTGAGCAAAGATCGCACCATTGCCCTTCAGCCTGGGCAACAGAGCAAGACTCCATCTCAAAAAAAAAAAAAAAGAAGTAGTTTTTTAAAAAAGACACTGGGTGTGATGGCTCACACCTGTAATCCTGGTACTTTGGAAGGTTGAGGTGGGAAGATCTCTTGAGCCCAGGATTTTGATACCACCCTGGTCAACATAGTGAAACCCTGTCTCTAAGAAAAAAGAAAGAAGTGTTAGAGACTATAGGTGGACCACAAAACCTAAAATATTTACTCTCTAGCCCTTTAGTTTGCTGACCGCTATTCTAGATGAAGCCCCTGAATCCCTTCCACGGCTGTGGCAGTCTTTAAGGCCATTGTTTTAGGTGTCCCAGCAGTGTCATGCAGGCTTTTTACATTCAGGTTGCTGTAACAAAATACCATAAACTGGGTAGCTTATAAATAACAGAAATTTATGTCTCTGGCCAGGCACCGTGGCTCACGCCTGTAATCCCAACAATTTGGGAGGCCAATGTGGGCAGATCAGCTGAGGTCAGGAGTTCAAGACCAGCCTGGCCGACATGGTGAAACCCCATCTTTACTATAAATAGAAAAAATTAGCCAGGCCTGGTGGCACATGCCTGTAGTCCCAGCTACTCAGGAAGCTGAGGTAGGAGAACCGCTTGAACCCGGGAGGTGGAAGTTGGAGTGAGCTGAGATCATGCCGCTGCACTCCAGCCTGGGTGACAGAGCAAGACTGCATCTCAAAAATCTAAAAATAAAGACATTTGTGTCTCAGTTCTGGAGGCAGTGAAGTCCCAGGATCAAAGTCCTTACAGGTTCAGTGTCTGGTGAGGGCCAGAATTCTAGTTCAGTACCCTCTGTGTTCTTAAGTGCCTTAAGAAGCAAGGCAACTCTCCAGGGCCTTTTATAGGGGCACTAATCATGAGAACTCTGCCTTTATGTAATTGCCCCCCAAGGCTCACATCAGATGGGTAATTAGGATTTGAACATAGGAATTTTGGGTGAACACAAACGTTCAGACCGTAGTATAGCCCTTTCTGTTTTTGGAAATGTTGAGATTAGTGTAAAAAATGTATCCCATTCTCTTTCTAACCTATCTGGCCTCAGACTGGTGAAGGCTTGGAAAAACCAATTTTACCACATTTGCAGAAATAGACTTTCACACCATACTTAAGACCAAAGGCTAAATAGACAAACCAGAAGCTTAACATCCCACTCTTAACTTTTACTACACCAAGTAAATGAAATTAGGGGTAGGATTTGGCACACACCTCTGGCCCTAGTTGTAATTGCTAGGCACTCAGAATTAATCTCTATGTCCTTCCTTGAACTGGAAAATGGGAAGCTTCTGTTTATGCTAATACTTATGAAGGCATTCTCTGGTATTATTTCTTAGTGTCTACAAAGCGTCTTGCCACTTTCAAGGCCCAACTGGAAAATCTTTACTAGAAAGCCATGTTACAGATCTGTTAGGTTTTAGCTACAGAAGAGCAATCAACTATAGAACATGCTAACAGAAGTAAAAACTAGGCCGAGTGCTGTGGCTTATGCCTGTAATCCCAGCACTTTGGGAGACTGAGGCTGGCAGATCACTTGAGGTCAGGCGTTCAAGACCAGCCTGGCCAACATGGTGAAACCCTGTCTCTACTAAAAAATACAAAATACTAGCTGGGTGGCTGGCCATGGTGGCTCACGCCTGTAATCCCAGCTCTTTGGGAGGCCAAGACAGGTGGATCACCTGAGGTTTGGAGTTCGAGACCAGCCTGACCAACATGGAGAAACCCCATCTCTACTAAAGAAATGTAAAATTAGCTGGGCTTGGTGCACACCTGTAGTCCCAGCTACTTGGGAGGCTGAGGCAGGAGAATTGCTCAAACACAGGAGGCGGAGATTGCAGTGAGCCAAGATTGAACTCCAGCCTGGGCAACAAGAATGAAACACTTGTCTCAAAAAAAAAAATTAGCTGGGCTTGGTAGACAGCTACTCAGCAGGCTGAGGCAGGAGAATCACTGGAACCCGGAAAGTAGAGGTTGCGGTGAGCCGAAATTGCACCACTGCACTCCAGCCTGGGGAACAGAGCAAGACTCAAAAACAAAAAACAAAACAAACAAAAACAAAACAAAAACAGAGCAAGACTCAAAAACGAAAAACAAAAAAAACCCAAAAACTGGAAATCATGGCAGAGGAATCAAGTGCCCCAAAACTACTACTGTGTGCATAACAATTAACTGCCAGTTACGATACATGGCCCTTTAATGTTAAAATTGAAGGGTTCAGCTTTTACCCTTTAGCACAGTCGATTCATAAGGAATGCACTTTTGCCATGTTTATAGTAATGTTCAGTTATGGTACACATTTTACAGAAAGAAACCCAGAAAGATTGACTATGCTTACTTAAAAATGAAAGAATGAAAAAGTACTAAGATTCCCAATTTTTTGCAGTTCCAAGTATAATTGTTAAATGCCATCTTTTCTAACTTACTAGATTGGAGCTGGAGTGAGCCTTCCAGGAATTTTGGCTGCCAAATGTGGTGCAGAAGTAATACTGTCAGACAGCTCAGAACTGCCTCACTGTCTGGAAGTCTGTCGGCAAAGCTGCCAAATGAATAACCTGCCACAGCTGCAGGTGGTAGGACTAACATGGGGTCATGTATCTTGGGATCTTCTGGCTCTACCACCACAAGATATTATCCTTGCATCTGATGTGTTCTTTGAACCAGAAGGTAAACTTTTTTGGCTCAATAGTACATTTGGCCAGTGATGCTGTATGAAAGTCTATTCATAAATCCTTTCTTCTCAGATTTTGAAGACATTTTAACTACAATATATTTTTTGATGCACAAGAACCCCAAGGTCCAATTGTGGTCTACTTATCAAGTTAGAAGGCAAGTATGGATAACCCTAGCTTACTTTTTGTATGTAACTTAAGCCTTACTCTACTCTACCCATGCAATGTATAATTTAATAAAATATATCTGAAGCAAAACAGAAAAGGCATGACTTTAAAAAAAACCATTTATTTTTTTTTTTTAAGTGCTGACTGGTCACTTGAAGCTTTACTCTACAAATGGGATATGAAATGTGTCCATATTCCTCTGGAATCTTTTGATGCAGACAAAGAAGATATAGCAGAATCTGCCCTTCCAGGAAGACATACAGTTGAAATGCTGGTCATTTCCTTTGCAAAGGACAGTCTCTGAATTACACCTACAACCTGTTCTGGGACAATATCAGTACTGTTGAGCAACCTGGCACACAAACTATGAGCAGACCACTTCAGCTTGAGAATGCAGTGGGTCTGAAGATGGTCAAGTCTGTTTGCATCAGATTTTGATGTCACCTAGACAACACTTTAACTCATATGAAACAAAAATTAAAATACATATTACAAGTACTTGGATTGTTCCTTTGTCATTAAATAGGATATAAATTAGGTTGAGAAGGAGGTATCACAACCTCAAGAAAAGTGCCACATTAAAGCATTGCTTTTAGGTGTTCAACTGGCATTTCCACTTTAACTTAGGAAATGATAGGCACTAAACAGTCCACTTCCATACTATGCAGTCAGCAACAATCACAAAATTGCATAGTTCCTTCAAATAAATGGGGGAAGAAAAGACCAGGACATATTCTGAGAAAAGCTAACACCAAGAAAATGTTTTAATTAAACTACAGAAACAATGGTTATAATACAGAATATTCATCAGCAAAAAGATACACCATGTTATAAGTACTTACAAAGTTACAACCATTTGCTTCCTTAACATTTTCCATGTTAAGTTCATACATGTAGATATGATCAGATTTACCATTTTTAGGGGTAAGAGGGAAAAAAGGTGTATTTATCATCAGCTAGATGTGCTCACTGTATGCTCCGTTATTTATATGCAAGGCCCGGGTGACTGGAAGTGCAGTTGTCAGGCATTTTAATAAACTGGACAGCCATTTGTTTCTGCACGACAAGGCATCTTTACACAGGAGCAATCGGGAGAAAACAGGAAACAGCCAAGCACTCTGCACTGCAACACGCCACCTTAACAGCTAACCAGCATTACTCAACTGCTACACAACTGCGCCTAGTGCACAAAAATACATAAGAGAAGAGATTAGAATTGTGTTTGATAAACAATCCTTTCAAAAAATCAAGTCTTTTCACCTGAAAAGTCTTTATACAAATTTGGGTTCAGATTACCATTTAGATCTGAAGGTAAATAACATATACAAATTTACACCAACTTTTGTAGGTTTTTAATTTTAAGGAATGAAGGCAATGCTGAGTCAATCTCTCGACAGCTTTAGGCTGTGTGTAATGGCTGCACACGTTTTCCTTAAAAGTCAGGAGGCCACAAATTAGGTTACCAATCTGTTTAATTTCAAACAAAAAAAGTCAGCACTATGTAACAAAATGAAATTTTACCTCAAATATCCAAATCCAATAATGAAATCTGAAGTCGTTCACCTCACTAAATTACAAGAAATTTGAATAACAGCAACAAAATGGCACATAAAATGAAGTTTGCCAACTGAGGCAAAGCTTAAACAAGTAAAAAGTTAGACAAATGTTACAAAATAACCTTTTCAATAGCCAGTTGCTTGTTCCAAGGACTCTTCTTCGATGGACTGAGTATGTGGTCCTTTTTCCCCAAGTCCTCCGTTTACACTGCTTGCCGATACATCTAGGTTTGAAAAGAAAGAAGTTCAGCTCACCTTCCATTAAAGTGCACATGGTTTCAGTTTCAGGCATGTACTTACTAAGGCTCTGGTGAAACCAGTAGGGTACAGAAATGTTCCACCCAGCCATGTTTTTTAAAGGCCCAATTAGGAAAATTTCACAAAGGCTACCATCAGCATGTACAAGTTTGAATTTACATATTCCTGGCCAAATAACCAAGGTGAAGAAAGGTAAGGGGAAGAAAAAAAAAAAAAAGAAAAAAAAAGAAAAAAAAAAGGGCTGTATCCAAACAAAAACAACTCGAAATCAGAGAATTGGTCTATATTTCATTAAGATAAATTGTTTCAAATGAAACATTGGTAATTGAGAATACTACTTTAATATCTGAGCTACTTAGGGCCCTTTCCTTTTTAAAAAATAGGACCAAACAATTTAAGAGTTAAAGACACACTATCCTTTCCCCACCCAGTGCAATACCTGTAACTTTCTTTTGGGGTTCCAAATGTTCACTGCTTGTTATTGCAATTCGTTTGCCACATCCATTAGAATATGAAGTCCCAGTCAGTACAACAATAGTTGAACTGATTGTTTCTCTAAGAGGATAGTGCATCTTTAACATTTAAAGACAAACCTGCTCCAATACACGCCCACAGAAACTGGTCCCTGGAGGATCAGCCAAATCAGTTAAAATCTGCAATACTGGCCAATATTCTTTTATCAAACAGGAGACCGCAGCTTTAAAGGGGGAAAATGCAGACGTTGGATAAAAACAGCAAGAAATAGTCATTTTCATTAATAGGTCTCAAACAGTTTATGAAACAGCCATTATTATCTAAGCTTCATACACATCCTTTCTGCAGACCCCTCTCTTCAGTATTACTCCCAAAGGTGAGTAACCTCCGAGCAGCACTCCTAACGATAGGAGTCATTCTTACATTAACACGGCTCAAAAAGACCTACCCCAAATCCCATTTATGAATTAGGGTTATGTGTCTCGGATTCCCAGACATTACCATTTTCTTAAGAGGACACCGCTCCTTCCTCTTCAGGACTCTTAGGAGGACTCTTCGATCGCGACCTGGATTTGGATTCCCTCTTGGACACCGGCGGAGGACTCCTGGACCGAGATCGGGACCTGGACCGCGAGCGAGATCTGGAGACCGAGGAGGACTTGGACTTGGACCTTCGCGCGGATCTGGACTTGGAGGTCGACCGAGAGCGAGAGCGAGTGCGGGACCGAGACTTCGAGCGGCTGTAGCGAGATCGGCTGCGGGACCTGGAACGGCTCCGACTCCGGGATCGGCTGCGGCGACGCCGCCTAGGGCTGCAGGCGGGACGAGCAAGCACAGCGGGGTTAATTCCAGGCAGCGGGGCCGGCCCCGCCCGCGCGCTCCCGCCCAGGCCGCCATTATCTCGCCGCCAGACGCCATTTCCCCAGTCGCGAGGCGGGGTCCTCCGCCCCGCGCCGCCCACACCCCGGCCACTCCCGGGTCGCAGACGGCGGAAGCTCGCGGGGCGGCCGCAGGGTCCGAGACGCGGCGTGCAGCCCCCGCCCCGTCCGGGCCCGCACCACGTGCTTCGCCGCGGACCTTTGTGAGGCCGCCCGGGTCTCCCGCGCGCCCCGCCCCGCCTCCCGCGGTCCCCTCAGCCCCGTTTACCTGCGGCTCCGGCGTCCGTAGCCACCGCCCCCATACCTGCGGGGTGGCGGTCCCCGGCGGCTGTGGTGTGAGTCCGGGGGGCGGCCGTAGCGCGCCATTTGCACCCGCAGCTCGCGGCCGTCCAGCACGGCTCCGTCCATGGCATCCATAGCGTCCTCGGCGTCCCGCTTGTCGTGGAAGCGGACGAAGGCGAAGCCGCGGGACTCCTTGGTGTAGCGGTCCCGCGGGATGTACACGTCGCCAACGCGCCCGTACTTCTCGAAGACGCGCCTCAGCGTGTCGGGCGAGGTGCGGTAGGTCAGGTTGTCCACCTTGAGGGAGGTCATACCCTCCACATCGGGAGGGGGGCGACCGTAGCTCATGGCTCTGACTGGCGGCCCGGAGCCCCACGAACTGGCGCCGACTTCCTCAGCTCTGGGCGGTGCGACGCCGCGCCTCTTAGGCAGTTGCTTTCCGCGTGGGGACGCTGGGAAAGGCCTTGCAGGAAAACAGGGCAGACAAGCTCCGCCAGCGAGCGCACCTGAGCAACAACTGAGCGGGTGGCCGGCCCCAGCGCCCGTTTATATCGCTCCTCACAAAATGGCGCCCGCGCCACCCGGAAATGAAATCCTCTGATTGGCCTGCCGTGCCCCCCCCGTAACGTCCATGACGCGCGCCCCGCCCCTACCCGAAGCGCCTGCGCACAGCCCGGCGGGCGGGCCAAAAAGCGCGGAGTCACGGCTGGAGGGAGGGGGAGCGGAATTAGCGGGCAGTTGGAAAGCCCGCGAAACGCTTTTTCCGCCTGGGAGGCCGAACGACCGCGCTCGGGCAGGAGGAAGAGGAGGTGCTCCCCATCTGGGCTCCACCTTCTTTTCATGCCAATACTCAAAGTTCACGCCCCTTTTTTGCTCAGCCGTCAGCCCCGTCTGTGAGAGGGGTGCTTCTGCCCTCATATGCCTCTCCCTGTGACCCCGGCCCCTTCAGACTCCGCTACGTCGTCTCTCGGCCCCGTCCAACAGCTCCTGACTACTCTTCGCCGGGGTCTGCTTCCCAATTCCCTTTCGCCAGAGCCCGCGAGCTCAGTCGGCTCCGCGTCCTGGCGGTGGGGAGTTCTCGCGGAGCGCCTGCGCGTGCCAGGCCATCCGGGACTACGTTTCCCAGCGGGCCGAGCGGACGGCGCCGATGCTGCGGTCAGGTGACCCGGTCGCCTGACCGCAGTGAGTGAGGCCGGGAGGGCGGGGCCGCGCCGGCTGCTGGGGCTCGCCCTTGGCCCTTTAATCCCCTTCGTGGGCCGCTCAAACTGCAGCGGCCACGTTCTTGGGGCTTCGCCGGGGGTTGTGCTCTTCCGTACTCGGATCGCTTCTTAGGAATATTCTAACTGCCGGTGGGGAGAACTGCGCCTTAAACCTGGGATTCTGATCCAGGAACTGGAAGTTGACAGCTTGGCCGCCTGGCTCCTGCATCTGCCTTCTCCACTCACCATCTCATTTCTTTCTCCAGGATTGTCAGTGGCTTCGCCCCGAGGAGAGCTGACTGCCCTGGGCTGCTGCCTCCGGCAGAGCTGAGCCAAAATGTCCCCGGAATCTAAAAAGCTTTTCAACATCATTATTTTAGGAGTTGCCTTTATGTTTATGTTCACTGCCTTTCAAACTTGTGGAAATGTGGCGGTGAGTTGGAATCTGTCCTCCCTCCTTTGAAGTGCCCATCATAATGCATTACAGAAATGATAATAAACGTTAATTATATCTAATAGCGCGCTTTAATTGCATCTTTTATTTTTCCCACCCAGGCTTCCTCATTTGTTATGATTAGGTTTGATTTCTTGTGTCAGACATTCTCTTATATGGGGGAGTTAAGCATTACCGTTTATCTGATTTGATTAGGGGTTTGGATGTTAACCTATTTTATTTCTTGTCTGCATTAAGTTCTTCCTTAGTACTTGGATGGTTAAGGAAGGAAACCCAGGCGTAGTTACAGCTGGTTGTCCTCCCCCGTCCCTGTCATTGGTTTGCCTTCTCCAGTTATGTTGTCCTTTTTCTTTTCTCATAATGGACTTCAGTGTTAGGTACATTATGAACTTTTACTTTATTCTCTTGCTGAGTACTTGGAGTCACACTTCCGAAGTGGGGGAGGGAGACTGGAAAACGTTTTCGTTGATGAGTTTTATTTTCCACACAGCAAACTGTCATCAGGAGTTTAAATAGCACAGATTTTCACGGCAGTGGATATACCAGGTATTGTACCGTATGATTGATTTTGTTTTATATTTAACAGTAGTTGCTTAAATCTGATCAGAATCACCAGCAATAGAATATTGCGATTGAATTAGTGGTGATTGCATTTTCTCTTCTCCGTACCTAGACTGAGAGAATAAAGTTGATGAGTTTAGGTTTCCTGTGGAATTAGACACTAGTTTTGAAATCCTGACTTTACAAGGTATTTATTGCACTGTTATCTTAGGCAAGTGTTTCCACGAGCCCAATTTCCTAGCTCAGACAATGCGTCTCTGGGCACAGTGCGTGGCATTGAATAAGCACTCTGGTATTGTCATGATTAGAATTCCTAGTCCTGAACAGAAGATGTTGTGATTCTTGAACATTTGGTTCTTCTGGTTTTGTAATTTCATAACGATTAATATACGTATGTCAGGAGCTTTTAGATTTTCGTTAAGGTGTTTAGTCCCAATTTTACAGATGGGTAAAATGAAAAGATCTTCATAAGTCACTAGAACCTTGTGATTGGAGCTGGGAATGTAATATGTACCGATATATATGCACAAACAGGTTTTTCTTTTTTAAAATTAGATTTTTTAATTGACAAATGAAAATTGCATATTATTTGTTGTGCAGAACACGTTTTGAAATACGTGCCATGGAATGGCTACATTGAGCTATAGAAACAGGTTCCTAATTTCTCTAGAGTTAGAGATTGGATCATGGAACCCCCCTCAACTCCCAACAAATCCATAACTTATACTTGGTTCTTTATCCCTATCCTAAGCCTTGTATGTCATATTTGAGAATGAAGGGATGTTACTGTCCATTTTTCTAAGTGATTAGTAGCACAGCTTTTTGTACTTCTTTGTCTTCATGTGTGTTCTAAAGAACAAATGCAAAAACACATTTGATATTTGAGAGATTCATAAAAACCAAAGAATAATTTACTTTGGATTTATGAATAGTGTCTAGTAAATGAATTCAGGGCCTTTGAAATGGTTTTAGTCACACTTCATTCAAGACGTATGTACTAGGGCTGGGTCAGTAGTAACTGAGTAATGTTCAAGTGAGACCATTAGGTTGAGTTAAATAAATTCTGGCTCAAGCAAGTTGTAACTCTGTGCTGTTATTTATAGCAGAGAAATGTCATGAAGCTGCCAGGAGTTCTAGGCTAAGTTTGTAGGGTAGATTGGTGGACTAGGGCCTCTGGAATCGTGCAATCCTGGCTGGACATTCACCAGCCACCGAGCTGGACTTTTGGCAAATTACTTAACCCCACTGTATTTCCTTTTTCTGTTCTTTAACATGAGGATAATAACAATATCTTCTTTGTAGTGCTGCTAGGATTAAAAGAGAAAATATGTATAAGGTACTTGGCACAGTTCCTATTACTATGACTTACCAGTATGTAAAAAATGTATTGTTGTAGGCAAACTGATCCCAAGGCACAGTTGGGGGGGCTTCAATATTTTGTACAAATGAAAACTTTTATATGGTATTGAATTTAATGATATGACTATCATAAATTCTGACTAAAGAATATGAGTGTTTATTGTAAAATCTGTAAACTCAGATGGATTTTAAAAAGTGACACAGTGTACAAGGGCTTTGTTCTTTTTTTTTTTTCCAATTTGTGTATTATATGTGCAGCATGGCTATTATCTATGGAGTGTTCTCTGCTTCAAATTTGATTACACCGTCAGTGGTTGCCATTGTAGGACCTCAACTCTCTATGTTTGCCAGTGGTTTATTTTACAGGTGAGTAGTGTAATCTTGCACTTATTTAATTAGAACACTTTTCAGGATCTTTCAAGTAGATAGTAAACTTTTCACAGTAATTTATAGACTTGGACTGAATAAAATATAAGTGGTGTTTTAGGAATTTTGGCTCAGCACTTGTTGCTGAGGGATATCATATTCTAATGTGATAGGATGTATCTATATCTGCTTTTGTTTCACTGTTAATAAAAATAGTATCCAAAAGTCTCTTTCTATGAGGGTTGAAAAGAACCGTCTATGAAATAATCTTATTTTCTGTCAGTTGACTGAAAATAAGTGGGGATTCAAATGAAATAACTAAATGTTTCTCTGAACTCTAGAACTATAGTTCCATGATGTGCTAAGCTCTTGGCAAAGAACACTGCAAACCTGCAAAATGTCTGATTTTACAAATTTGAAATAATAAATTATGGGCCAGGCACAGTGGCTCCCACCTGTAAATCCCAACACTTTGGGAGGCCAAGGTATTGCTTGAGCCAAGGATCACTTGAGTCCAGGAGTTCGAGACCAGCCTGGGCAACATGGTGAAACCCCATCTCTACCAAAATAAAAAAAAATTAGCCGGGTGTGGTGGCACATGCCTGTAGTCCCAGCTACTTTTGAGGCTGAGGTGGGAGGATGACTTGAGCCCAGGAGGTGGAGGTTGCAGTGAGCTGTGATGGTGCCCCTGCACTCCAGCCTAGGCAATAGAGTGAGACCCTGTCTCAAAAAAATTAATTAAATAAGAAATGAGAAACTTGATTGTGTTCCGTTTTTCAAAACTGGAGCGATCCTTTATAGGTTGAGTTTTAAAAGAAGAGAATGTCAGAACTGATTCCTAGAAGGCATAATTGGCACACTATTTCAGGTATCGTTTGACTATAATACCTTGACCTGTTATATTTTAGCATGTACATTGCCGTTTTTATCCAGCCTTTCCCATGGTCCTTCTACACAGCCTCTGTTTTCATTGGAATTGCTGCTGCTGGTAAGCATTTTGATTTTTAACTTATCTGCTTTCTTTTCTGGGGCCTATCTAACGGTATTATTTATGTGTTTAGTATGTAACTCTAAGTGAATTTCTTTCTCTTGATAAACTTTTGGGTTGAATTTTAGTGCTTTGGACAGCACAAGGAAACTGCCTGACAATAAATTCGGATGAGCACACCATTGGGAGAAACAGTGGAATTTTCTGGGCACTTCTGCAGTCTAGGTAATTCCCCTTTTGAAGTTCAGTCTTTCCTTTCTTTCTTTTTTTTTTGTCATACCATTTTTTAGGTCTTTGACAATTTGGATCTTCCATGTTACGTGACTTAAATTCTAGCTAAATGTGACATGATTCCAATTTTATAGAATTGCTTGTAATGATGGCTGAGTATGCTGGCTCACTAGCTACTCAGGATTATTTATACCAATACTGAATATAGCATACTAAAATTTTTTTTTGAGATGGAGTCTCGATCTGTCGCCCAGGCTGGAGTGCAGTGGCCGGATCTCAGCTCACTGCAAGCTCCGCCGCCCGGGTTTACGACATTCTCCTGCCTCAGCCTCCCGAGTAGCTGGGACTACAGGTGCCCGCCACCTCGCCTGGCTAGTTTTTTGTGTTTTTTAGTAGAGACGGGGTTTCACCATGTTAGCCAGGATGGTCTTGATCTCCTGACCTCGTGATCTGCCCATCTCGGCCTCCCAAAGTGCTGGGATTACAGGCTTGAGCCACCGTGCCCGGCCCATTTTTTTTTTTTTTTTTTTTAATGAGACGGTGTCTGACACTGTCACCTGGGCTGGAGTGCAATGGTGTGATCTCGGCTCACTGCAACCTCTGCGTCCCAGGCTCAAGCAATTCTCCTGCCTTAGCCTCCTGAGTAGCTGGGATTATAGGTGCCCGCCACCACACCCGGCTAATTTTTTTTTTGTATTTTTAGTAGAGACGGGGTTTCACTATGTTGGCCGGGCTGGTCTCGAACTCCTGACCTTGTAATCCGCCCGCCTTGGGCTCCCAAAGTGTTGGGATTACAGGCGTGAACCACCACGTTTGGCCTTAATGTTTTCTTAAGAAGAAAGCAAAATGGCTATTCTGCTCTTGACTGTTGGATTTCTGGAATCTCTCCTGAGGAATTACCCTCATGAACCGTGCCTAAAATTTTGGCCTTGACAAGGCTTAACAAATGCAAATGTTACATTTTAAACGGTTATATATTAAGAAACTAGTGTGTAAGTGAATGATTCTTCAGGAAAGTATGCTAAAGAAAGTATCTGATTAGATGCAGATAACTAAATCATGGATTTTTGGAAACAGATTCTTTAAAATTTAGCTTAAGCTTATTTCCAGGGACTCATTTCCAGAGTTGCAGTAAATCACATGTTTCAAAGTGAGTCAATTCTTCTTTGAAGGGTGCCTCTGAATCAGGTTACTGTCACATGGAAGGAGTCTGAATTCCATCTGGGGCAATTAAGTTTATCAGAGTCCAGATGAAGTTGATACTTTTAAATGATCCAGGACAGGTAGATACTTTAAAAATGATGTCCTTGTCTCTCCCTCTCTTACAACAAATAATGGGAATAATTATTTTTAAAAAACAATAAATATTAAAATAATTTCCCAACATCCTATCCTCCCTTTTCTTCCCCCAGCTTGTTCTTTGGAAATCTCTACATATATTTTGCCTGGCAAGGGAAAACTCAGATATCAGGTTTGTTTTATCCACATTGCTTTATTCAGATATGTTCAAAGCATAATAAGAGTTATACAGAAATACCCATTATTGCTTTATTCAAGCATTGTTCTCATGAACCCTGACACCTCAAGTTCTTGCAGATTTTAGCTTTTAGTAAGCCTTTTCCTTGGTTTATATTATTCATTATTATTATTTTTAAGACAGAGTTTCACTCTTGCTACCCAGGCTGGAGTGCAATGGCGCTATCTTGGCTCACTGCAACCTCTGCCTCCTGGGTTCAAGCAATTCTCCTGCCTCAGCCTCCCAAGTGGCTAGGATTACAGGCCTGCATCACCACTCCCAGCTAATTTTGTATTTTCAGTAGAGACGGTTTTTCCACGTTGGTCAGGCTGGTCTCAAACTCCTGACCTCAGGTGATCTGCCCTCCTCACCCTCCCAAAGTGCTGGTATTACAGGCCTGAGCCACCGCTCCCAGCTTGGTTTCTATTATTAAACTAGGATTATAGGTTATGACTATGCTTTAAGTGGCATCTCAGGGTCTAAGGGGAGGTTATGCTCTGCACAAGCATACGAGAATACTGTGCATGAGTATATGGTTCTCAGAAGACTTCTGAATGCTCAGTTGTTTTCTCTGGACCCTTCTTTGATTAAAAGAAGGCGATTAAGGCCGGGCGCGGTGGCTCACGCCTGTAATCCCAGCACTTTGGGAGGCCGAGACGGGCGGATCACGAGGTCAGGAGATCGAGACCATCCTGGCTAACACGGTGAAACCCCGTCTCTACTAAAAAATACAAAAAACTAGCCGGGCGAGGTGGCGGGCGCCTATAGTCCCAGCTACTCGGGAGGCTGAGGCAGGAGAATGGCGTGAACCCGGGAGGCGGAGCTTGCAGTGAGCTGAGATCCGGCCACCGCACTCCAGCCTGGGTGACAGAGCGAGACTCCGTCTCAAAAAAAAAAAAAAAAAAAAAGAAGGCGATTAAGCTCTTGTGCTGTTTTTCTTTGCTTATTCGTATTTCTCTAACTGAAAGACAAAGGTGAAGGTATCCTATTTATCTCCTTTTCCTAAGTTTTTACTGATGCATTAAAATAAAAATGTAACGAGAAAGTGTGTTGACAGTTATAAGCAACCCTTGTACCATGATACTAATTCTGGAATTGTTTGGTCGATACTATCTAGTTTCTTCTTTTTTCTCCTTAGAGAGTGACCGAAGAACAGTGTTTATTGCGCTGACGGTAATTAGCCTTGTGGGGACAGTTCTGTTCTTTCTCATTCGGAAACCAGATTCTGAAAATGTCCTAGGAGAAGATGAGTCTTCTGATGACCAGGACATGGAAGTCAACGAGTAAGATGTTGGGAACATTCCATTTTATTTTAAAATAGATTTTGAGTAGATCTAGTCTAGAGATTACCCACCTGTTTAGCCCTAACTGATATCCAGTACTCTCTGTATGTTACCACAGGCAAGAAAAGGAAGAAAATAAAGGAGGAGCTGCGAGGGAGGAAGGAAAAAAAGGTCACCAGAGGAAGGGAGGTGGTGAAAAGGTGCACAGGGAATTTTGAGTCTATTCCTGGCCTTGCCACTGATGTGTATGTGATCCTGGACAGTGGCAGCAATTCCTATCCTGTCTCCAGGCCTGAGCTTTCTCACTCAATCAGTATGTTTTCACGGGCAAGAAAATAGAAGGCAGTGTTGACCTTGGTTACTGTTTCTGTGATCCAGCTCTAAAGTTTTCCTGTTCTTGTGGTATGAGTGAGTGGCAGGGCCAGTGATGGTTGTCACAGATGAACCTTAGTTATCGCTAGGCTCTTGCTTATAGTATCCGGCTCTTGCACTAACTTACATGGGTGGTTTTCCCTAGAGTAGTCCAAATGGGGGAATAAGTATACAACCCTGTGTTTTGTAAAAATTGTAAATTACCTAAGCACATTTCAGTTGCAGGTGACACTATTTAAGCATGACAGGCTAGTGATCTGCAGTATCATTTAGATTTGAGGAAGGAGAGATGAGAAATTAATCTCTGTCACCCTTGTTTTGCTTTGTGAATTGATAAATTGTTAAGATTGCCTTACAGCATTTTATCTGTTGTTAAAACTTTTGCATTGAGCATCCCATGCTGACTTTGTAATCCAGAAAGGGCCTAAAATTGTCCGGTCATAGGAGCATTAGATGCTCCAGATTTGCAGTAAGTTTGCGTAAAGCAGAAGCAAGGCAGTGCTTTGGTCTGGATATGTTGCCATGCCCTGCCTTCTTACTCTTTACTGTGCTTCACAAACACTGGGTTTTTTTTTTTACAAATTGAAGGCTTGTGGCAACCCTGCATCGAGCAAGTCTTTCTATCCATGCCACTTTTCCAACAGCGTGTGGTCACTTTGTGTCTCTCTGTTACATTTTGGTAATTCTCACAATACTTCAAACATTTCGTCGTTATGACATCTGTTATAATCTTATAACATCTGTTACAAGATGTGATCAGTAATCTTTGATGTTGCTATTGCAATTATTTTGGGGCACCACAATCCGGATCCATATAAGGTGGTGAACTTAACTGATCAGTGTTGTGTGTATTCTGACTGTTCCACTGCAGGCCATTCCCCCATCTCCCTCCCTCTTCTCCTGAGACACAGCAATATTGAAATTAGACTAGTTAATGACCCTACAATAGCCTCTATGTGTTAAAGTGAAAGGAAGAGATGCATGTCTCTCACTTTATTTATTTATTTATTTATTTTGAGATGGAGTCTCGCTCTGTCACCCAGGCTGGAGCGCAGTGGCACGATCTCAGCTCACTGCAACCTCTGCCACCCGGGTTCACGCAATTCTCCTTCCTCAGCCTGCCAAGTAGCTGGGATTACAGGCATGCACCACCACACCCGGCTAATGACTAATAAAGAAATGACTAAGCTTAGCAAGGAAGACATGAAGAAAGCTGAGATAGGCTGAAAGCTATGCCTCTTGTACCAAACAGCCAAGTTCTGAATGCAAAGGAAAAGTTTTTGAAGGGACTCAAAAGAGCTACGCCAGGGAACACACTCATGATAAGAAAGTGAAACAGCCTTGTTGCTGATACGGAGAAAGTTTTAGTGGTCTGGATAGAAGATCAAACCAGCCACAACATTCTCTGAAGCCTAATCCAGAGCAAGGCCCTCTCTTCAATTCTGTGAAGGCTGAGAGACGTGAGGAATCTTTTTTTTTTTTTTTTTTTTTTTTTTTGAGACGGAGTCTTGCTGTGTCACCCAGGCTGGAGTGCAATGGCCAGATCTCGGCTCACTGCAAGCTCCGCCTCCCGGGTTCACGCCATTCTCCTGCCTCAGCCTCCCGAGTAGCTGGGACTACAGGCGCCCGCCACCTCGCCTGGCTAGTTTTTTTTGTATTTTTTAGTAGAGACGGGGTTTCACCGTGTTAGCCAGGATGGTCTCGATCTCCTGACCTCGTGATCCGCCCGTCTCGGCCTCCCAAAGTGCTGGGATTACAGGCTTGAGCCACCGCGCCCGGCCGACGTGAGGAATCTTTAGAGGAAAAATGTGAAGCTAGCAGAGGTTGGTTCGTGAGGATCAAGGAAAGAAAACATCTCCATGACATCAAAGTGCAAGTGAAACAGCAAGTGCTGATGGAGAAGCTGCAGCAAGTTATCCAGAAGATCTGATTATTATAATTGACAAAGGTAGCTGCACTGAACAACAGGTTTTCGATGTGGACCAAACAGTCTTACATTAGAAGATGCCATCTAGGAATTTTATAGCTAGAGAGAAGTTAATGCCTGGCTTTAAACCTTCAAAGAACAGGCCGACTCTTGTTATTGGCTAACACAGCTAATGACTTGAAGTGGAAGCCAGTGCTCATTTACCATTCCAGAAACCCTATGGCCCTCAAGAATCATGCTAAATCTGCCTGGACCCTATAAATGGAATGACAAAGCCTGGATGATAGCACATTTGTTTACGGCATGGCTCATTGACTATTTTAAGCCCACTGTTGAGACCTACTGTTCAGAAGAGAAGATTCTTCTCAAAATATTACTGCTTATTGACGATGTACCTGATCAGCCAAGTGCTTTGTTGGAGGTGTACAAGCAGATGAATGTTGTTTTCATGCCTTCTAACAACATTTGTTCTGCAGCCCCTGGATCAAGGAGTAATTTCAGCTTTTGCTTTTTTGAGACAAAGTCTTGCTCTGTCACCCAGGCTGTAGTGCAGTGGCGGGATCTCGGCTCACTGCAACCTCTGCCTCCCAGGTTCAAGAGAGTCTTCTGCCTCAGCTTCCTCAGTAACTGGGATTACAGGCGTGTGCCACCATGCCTGGCTAATTTCAACTTTCAAGTCTTATTATTTAAGAATTACATTTCTTGAGGATATAGCTGCCATAGATAATGATTCTTCAGATCTAAGCAAAGTAAATTGTAAACCTTTTGAGAAGGAGTCATCATTCTGGGTAGGTCACATTAAGAACATCTGTGCCTGGGGCTGGGTACGGTACAGTCACTCACGCCTGTAATTCGAGCACTTTGGGAGGCCGAAGCAGGTGGATTGTTTGGGCTTAGGAGTTTGAGACCAGACTGGGCAACATGGTGAAACTTTTTTTTTTTTTTTTGAGATGGAGTCTCACTCTGTCTTCCAGACTGGAGTGCAGTGGTGTGGTCTTGGCTCACTGCAACCTCTGCCTCCCAGGTTCAAGCATTTCTCCCGCCTCAGCCTCCCGAGTAGCTGGGACTACAGGCGCATGCCACCACACCTGGCTAATTTTTGTATTTTTAGTAGAGATGGGGCTTCACTATGTTGGCCAGGCTGGTCTCGAACTCCTGACCTCGTGATCCACCCGCCTTGGCCTCCCAAAGTGCTGGAATTACAGGAGTGAGCCACCGTGCCTGGCAAAACATTTTGTTTTAAAGCACACACCAGTAGTTATTAGAGAAGGAGTCTGTGAAGATGAATATCACAAATTCAACAAAAACTGACCCCCCATTCAGTCAGCACATGTTTGGTGTTGGTCCTAGAGGATAAATGCTGCCCATCCCTGTTTTCAAGGAACTGCCAAGTTGGGGAGGTGGGTGAGGGGTTCTGTAACTGTGAGCAGGTGCTCTTCTAGAAATACTGCTCAGCCTTTGTAGCATTCTCTCTTCCTGAATCGTCTCCTAAATTTGGAACTTCCGTGTCTTTGTTCTACAAATAGCACAGACTTGTGGCAGCCCTCTTCTATGCCGGAGGGATATAGGCGTGAACAAGACAGATAAGTCCTTGTTCTTATGGGACTTAATTTTAGAGGGGGTGGTAGACAATACACATGTAAGAAAATAGCAAAGTGAGCGTTAGGAAGACTGTGAAAGAGGGGGAGAGTGGAGGGAAGGGGGGAAGAATGGAGAGGAGGAGGGTAGAGAGTGGGATAGCTCCCGGAGACCTGCCTGGTGAGACATGAAGGTCAGCAGGTGGCCTTTGCCAGAGCCAGGCAGTGGGAAGGGTGTGGTGGGCTCTGGGCTCCAAGAAGGAAAAAGTGGAAGCAGTAGGCAGGGTCGGATTATGTAAGCCAAGATAAGGAGGTTTGCATTTTCTTCTTAGTGTGATTAGAAGCTGTTGAGGGTATAAGTAGAATTCTCTTTTAAAGGTTCCCACCTAAAGGCCTCACAGGAAAAGATTTGAAGACTTGAAAGATTTGAAGAGCTCCAAAGAGACAGCTCTGTCTGTCTTCTGGCTGGGCATAGTGGCTCCTGCCTGTAATCCCAGCACCTTGGGAGGCTGAGGCAAGACGATTGCTTGAGCCCTGGGGGTTGAAATCAGCCTGGGCAACACAGCAAGACCTAGTCTCTACTTAAAAAAAAAAAGAGCCAGGTGTGGTGGTACATGCCTGTAGTCCCAGCTACTTGAGAGGCTGAGTAGGGGGAAGCTTCAGCAAAGGGATTCAGGGCTTCAGTGAGCTGTGATGACGCCGCTGCACTCCAGCCTGGGCAACAGAGCAAGACCCTGTCTTTAAAAAAAAAAGAAAAGAAAAACTGTCATCTGTCTCAAGTGCATAATTTACATCTCTGAGGACCTGTTAGCTGGGTGATCTCTAGGTGTTTCTTCATTGGCAGTTACCTCTATCCTCCTTCTCCCCTCCCTCCCAGTATTCTTTCCTTCCTCTCTTCGTCTCTTCTTTCCTCCCTCCATCCTTTCATTTCTTACCTTCCTCCATTCATCCTTTCTTTCCCTTCCCTCTCTCCCTTCTTTTCTTCCTTTCCCTATATTTGAGGTTCTCTGATATTCAAAGCATTGTGCTAAACAAAACAGAAGTTTATGCATTCATGGAGCTTACTTTCTAGTTGGTGACAGAGAGAAAAGAAACAGGCAGGTTTTAAAAATAGCTTTATTGAGATATAACTCATATACTGTATAATTCACCCATCTAAAGTATACACTTCAGTGCTTTTTAGTATATTCACAGAGTTGTGCATCCATCATTGAAACCAATTTTAGAATATTTTTTGAATACTTTTATTACCCCAAAAAGGAGCCACAGGAAGGATGCGATGGCCCACGCTTGTCCTGTGGTTCCTGTTCCAGGTAATAAAAATCATAGCACTTTGGGAGGCCGAGACGGACGGATTGCTTGAGCCCAGGAATTTGAGATTAGCCTGAGCAACATGGTGAAACACCATCTCTACCAAAAAAAAAAAAAAAAAAAACAAAAATTAATCAGGCATGGTGGCACATATCTGTTCTCCCAGCTACTTGAGAGACTGAGGTGGGAGAATCACATAAGCCCAGGAGGCGGAGGTTGCAGTGAGCCGAGATGATCATACCACCGCGCTCCAGCCTGGGTGACGGCGGGGAGACCCTGCCTTAAAAAAAAAAAAAAAAAAAAAAAAAAAAGGAACAATGTATGCTGTAGCTGATCTCCATCTGCTTCTTTAAATAAAAAAAATAAAGCAGGCTGGGCACGGTGGCTTACGCCTGTAAGTCCAGCACTTTGGGAGGCCGAGGCGGGCAGATCATGAGGTCAGGAGATTGAGACCATTCTGGCCAACGTGGTGAAACTCCATCTCTACTAAAAATACAAAAATTAGCTGGGTGTGGTGGCATGTGTCTGTAATCCCAGCTACTCAGGAGGCTGAGGTAGGAGAATCGCTTGAACCAGGGAGTCAGAGGTTGCAGTGAGCCAAGATTGCGCCACAGCACTCTAGCCTGGGTGACAGAGCAAGACTCCATCTCAAAAAAAAAACCAAAAACCAAAAGCAGAGAAGTAATAGAGAAATATGAGAGTAGGGGGGTGGAAGGGGAGTTGTTGCAGTTATAGAGTTGGGAAGGCTGAGAAAGTAACATTTAAGCCCGGGCCTGAAAGAGGTGAGCTAGGTGTGGCTTTTACCTGGAGTGGGATGGTAAGCCATTGGAGGGTTTGAGAGAGGACTGACAGTGATCTAACTTAAATGGTAAACAACTCACTGAATTAAATTGGAAGTGACTTGCGCTGAATTATTGTATTTTAGTGGTCTGTAGAGTATAAATCAGTTAATTGGGGCCTGAAGGGTAAAATATTAGAATCCTACATGGAATCCTATCCAAGTGTAAAATGAGGGTTCTACCAATTAATGTCATCTAAATAGTATTTGCTTCCAGGGAAGGCGTGAGTTTTATGATGAGGAAACAAGTTTTCTTGCTGGTTAGAGCATACCATTTTTTCGTGTGTTAGTAATTTTTTTTTTTTTTTTTTTTTTGAGATGGAGTCTCACTCTGTCACCCAGGCTGGAGTGCAGTGGCGCGAACTCGGCTCACTGCAAACTCCACCTTCCAGGTTCACGCCATTCTCCTGCCTCAGCCTCCCAAGTAGCTGGGACTACAGGTGCCTACTACATGCCTTCACCATGTTAGCCAGGATGGCCTCGATCTCCTGACCTCGTGATCCACCTGCCTCAGCCTCCCAAAGTGCTGGGATTACAGGCATAAGCCACCGTGCCCGGCGGTGCGTTAGTAATTTTTTAACTTAATTGGATCACCATTAGATTCCTTTTATTTCTTAAGTTAACGAGATCTCCTTTGCATTCATTTTTTTGGTAAAAATGCCATTTAGAGATACAGGAGTAGACTTGACTGTTAGAATAGGAAATGTAATCTTTTTTTTTTTTTTTTTTTGATACAGAGTCTTGCTCTGTCACACAGGCTGGAGTGCAGTGGCACGATCTTGGCTCTCTGCAACCTCCACCTCTCATGTTCAAGTGATTCTCCTGCCTCAGCCTCCCAGGTAGCTGGGATTACAGATGCCTGCCACGCCTGGCTAATTTCTGTATTTTTAGTAGAGATGGGGTTTCACCATGTTGGCCAGGCTGGTCTCAAACTCCTTACCTCAAGTGATCCACCCGCCTTGGCCTCCCAGAGTGCTGGGATTACAGGTGAGAAATGTAACCTTTTAAAAATCTTTTGGCTGGGCACATTGATTCATGCCTGTAATCCCAGCACTTTGGGAGGCTTAGGCAGGCAGATCATGAGGTCAGGAGATCGAGACCATCCTGGCTAACATGGTGAAACCCCGTCTCTACTAAAAATACAAAAAAAAATTAGCCAGGCGTGGTGGTGGGCACCTGTAGTCCTAGCTACTTGGGAGGCTGAGGCAGGAGAATGTCATGAACCTGAGGTGGAGGTTGCAGTGAGCTGAGATCACGCCACTGCACTCCAGCCTGGGCGACAGAGGGAGACTCCATCTCAAAAAAAAAAAAAAAAAAGTTTCTAGGCGGGGTGTGGTGGTTCACACCTGTAATCCCAACACTTTGGGAGGCTGAAGTCAAAGGATCACTGAGCCCAGAGTTCCAGAGCAGCCTGGCAACCTCGTGGAGCGCTATCTCTGCAAAAATTTAAAAATTAGCCAGGCATGGTAATGCATGCCTGTAGTCCCAGTTACTTGGGAGGCTGAGGCAGAAGGATCACTTGAGCCCAGGAGGTTAAGGCTACATTGAGCCATGATTGTGCCAGTGCATTCCAGCATTCCAGCCTGGATGACAGAGCAAGACTCGGTCTCAAAAAAAAAAAAGGAAAATCTTTAAAAATTTAAGGAGGCCGGGCACGGTGGCTCACGCCTGTAATCCCAGCACTTTGGGAGGCCGAGGCGGGCGGATCACAAGGTCAGGAGATCAAGACCATCCTGGCTAACACGGTGAAACCCTGTCTCTACTAAAAATACAAAAAAATTAGCCGGGCGTGATGGCGGGCGCCTGTAGTCCCAGATGCTGGGGAGGCTGAGGCAGGAGAATGGCATGAACCCAGGAGGCGGAGCTTGCAGTGAGCTGAGATCACACCACTGCACTCCAGCCTGGGCGACGGAGCAAGACTGTGTCTCAAAAAAAAAAAAAAAAAATTTAAGGAAAAAATATTTTTAAAAACTTTCTTGTAATCTTATTAACAATTATATTTAACTTGCATCATCTTATTTAATTCTCACAGGTAAGTCGTAGCATCCCTATTTGATGAATGAGGAAATAATACTTGGAGAAATGAAGTCACTTGTCTTGTCTAAAATCACACAACTAATTAGTGGTAAAGCCAGGCCTCTGAAAGCCCTTGTTTCAACCAGTAGATCATTGTGCATCCCAGCCATGACACAAGGAGGGCATTCATGGTTTTGAAGAGTGTTATTGAATATAATTCTAGTATAATTAAAAACTTATTTCTCCAAAGGACTCATAGAAGGAAATGTCTGCTTTATGAACATTGCAGATTAATGAAATTGATAATGGTATCAATAAGAACTCTGCCATCCTCAGTATTATAGCTTAGGCATGTTGTTGCTCAGTCCTCAGACAGCTGCAGTTGTTCTGTATATCACCTTATATAACCCACTTGCATTTCCCATTGAAGAGAAAATGAGGCATAGGATGTACATGATCTAATGTTAGGCACTTCCTTGACTTCATCAATCTTGGTGGATGAATAAGAAAAATGCGTTTTAAGCTTTGGAGCGTGATTTCAAGCACACAGTAGTGTTTTGGCAGTAGTCTTGGTAAACTGGAAAAGTCAGGGATTTTTTTTTTTTGTTTTGAGATGGAGTCTTGTTCTGTTGCCCACGCTGGAGTGCAGTGGCATGATCTCGGTTCACTGCAACCTCCGCCTCCTGGGTTCAAGTGATTCTCATGTCTCAGCCTCCTGAGTAGCTAGGATTACAGGGGTGCACCACCACACCCTGCTAAATTTTTTTGTATTTTTAGTAGAGATAAGGTTTTGCAATTTTGGCCAGGCTGGTCTGAAACTCCTGACCTCAAGCGATCAGCCCGCCTTGGCCTCCCAAAGTGGTGGGATTCCAGGCGTGAGCCACTGAGCCCTGCCCAAGTCTGTGATTTGGCCTGCCTTGTATGGATAAATGAAATTGCAGATTACAGTGAAGACCCACCTCTCTCAGCAGGACAGGAGATAGGCATGAATCCTTGCCTTGGTAATGTTCCTGAGGTAAATATTAGTATAGATTTTAAAATAACCTTCTCTTTTAAAAGCTGAGATTTGATGCCACTGTTGGTATAGAAACATATAACATATAAAAATTTTGTGGTCACTTTGGCAGCACAAATACTAAAATTGGAACAATACAGAGATTAGCATGGCCCCTGCACAAGGATGACGTGCAAATTCGTGAAGTGTTCCATATTTAAAAAAAAAAAAATCTTGACACACGTTGGTTATAGGACATCCAGTTCCCAAAAATGCTTCATCAAAAAGCACATAGCAGTCATCACCTGTCAGTGCTTGAATTTTGATGTGAAGCCAATTGAGAGTACAGTACCTGTCAAAGCCTCTTGGTTCTCGATCCCCAAACAGTCATAGCAGCAAGGAGATGAATGAAAGCTAACTTCAAGAAAGCTTTCATGATACCACATCCAAAGCAACCACCTCTCAGAATGCAGAAAATAACAAAAGTCTCTGACGGGTTTTAATGCCAAAGAACTTATTTTTCATAGTAAGGGCAATGGAAAATTGAATACTCACAGATATTTCCACAGTTTGAAGGTAACAGGATAGGTCGGGTGTGGTGGCTCACGCCTGTAATCCCAGCACTTTAGGATGCTGAGGCAGGTGGGTCTCTTGAACTCAGAAGTTCAAGACCAGCCTGGGCAACATGGTGAGACCCCATCTCTACCAAAACTACAAAAAATTAGCTGGATGTGGTGGGACCCACCTGTAATCCCAGCTACTCAGGAGGCTGAGGTGGGAGGATCGATGGCGGGAGGATCACCTGAGCCTGTGAGGTGGGGGTTGCAGTGAGCCGAGATTGCATCACAGCCCTCCAGCCTGGGAGACGGAGTGCGACCCTGTCTCAAAAAAAAAAAAAAAAGAAAGAAAATGGAAGTAAGAGAATAGAAAGTATTTCTGTACTGCTTGAAGTATGATTTCTGAGAAAGACGTGCATAAACATGTACAGTAAGTGTAATCTGAAAGAATCATCTTCCATAGTTAACAGAAAGGTGCCCAGGTGGGACTTTAAACACCTGGAACGAGGGCGTGGCCATGAGGGACACCCTGGGGCAAGGAGCATTCAGGTCACTGGAAATGCATCTCAGACCTGGTAGAGGACAGGGCTTTTACAAACAAATGAAAATGTGATTGTATTTTTGTTGTTTTATTTTCAAAAAGAAAAAACTTTTTTAAATTTTATTTTCTCAGGTCTGCCCAGAACAATCTGACAAAGGCGGTAGATGCTTTTAGTAAGTATTTTCTGTATCCGAAATGCAAGAACTGTTCAGGAACAACTTCCGCATTTGCCTTTCCCCATTTCCCTGGTAACTTTGGATTGATGACACCCCAGGGTTTGCATTTTTCCAGGTATGCTGCTCTGAAATATATTAATCTTCCTTATCAACATCTCTCTAACATGGGGGCTGTGAGGGATGGATGATGGTATGACTGCCCACCTGCCCAGGTGTGTGAAGGAAGTGGAAAGAGGCTGCACAGCACTCAGGTTCTCCCTGGAGTTAAGCATCTCCTGGGATTTTTGCAGGGTAATTAAGAGCAGATTGTGGCTGGGCGCAGTGACTCACACCTGTTATCTCAGCACTTTGGGAGTCCAAGGCAGGCGGATCACTTGAGGTCAGGAGTTCGAGACCAGTCTGGCCAACATGGCGAAACTCCTTCTCTACTAAAAATGTAAAAAATTAGCCGGGCGTGGTGGGGTGCACCTATAGTCCCAGATACTCAGGAGGCTGAGGCAGGAGAATCGCTTGAACCTGGGAGGTGGAGGTTGTACTGAGCCGAGATTGCCCCACTGTACTTCAGCCTGGGTGACAGGGAGACTCCATCTCAAAAAACAAACAAACAACAACAAAAAGGCAGATTGCTTGCTAGTTGGAGCGAAGCAGTAGCTCCAGTGACCCGGAAGGTAGTACGAATAATCATGTTCATGCATTGAGAAGTCTTCCTGGCCAAAGACTCTGCTGAATTCTTTGTTTTTTACTCTATGTGATTTTCACAATTCTGTTATATATTATATAATACACACCTATCATTGGCTCAGTTTAACAGAACAGAAAACTGAGGCTTAGAGAAATTAAGTAATTTAGGGGCCAGGCACAGTAGCTCACACCTGTAATCCCAGCACTTTGGGAGGCCATGGTGGGTGGATCACTTGAGGTCAGGAGTTCAAGACCAGCCTGGCCAACATGGCGAAACCCTGTCTCTACTAAAAATACAAAATTAGTCAGGTGTGGTGGCGTACGCCTGTGGTCCCAGCTATTCAGGAGACTGAGGCAAGAGAATCGCCTGAACCCAGGAAGTGGAGGTTGCCCTGAGCTGAGATCACGCCACTGCACTCCAGCCTGGGAAGCTGTGAGACTGTCTCAAAAAAAAAAAAAAAGAAAAAATTAAATAATTTACCCAAGGTCAACCAGTTAGTAGGTGGCTGAGTTGGGATTTGAGCCAGATTCTCATAATTTCCTTCAGAAACTTCCAGTGAGTCCATTTTGCTTCTGCCTATGGCTCTCTCAGCTTCTGTCTTCCCAGGAGAGGGAATCTGACTGGGGCAGTTATTCTCAAGAAGGGAGCAGCCTTTTGGGGCCATGTGTATTCATTAAGCCTATTGTAGGCCACAGGATCTTAATGACATATGGCCCTTATGGCCCTTGAGCACTTATGATTAGTTTCTAGGTTGCCTTGGGCTGAAGTGCAAATTGTTGATCTAATCAGCCATGGCCTGGCTCAGATGACACAAAGCATGTTAACTCTTGGCCAGGAATGCCTGTAGCTTCTTTTTTTAGAAAGGGTCTATGGGCATGAGAGTCTGAGCCTTCTATACATGGTATATTGTTTCAGGAATATATTCATAGTTTTTTATATATATGTATGTATGTATGTGTATATGTGTGTATATGTACGTGTGTGTGTGTGTGTGTGTGTGTATATATATATATATTTTTTTTTTTTAAGATGAAGTTTTGCTCTTGTTGCCCAGGCTGGAGTGCAATGGTGTGATCTTGGCTCACCGCAACCTCCACCTCCTGGCTTCAAGCGATTCTCCTGCCTCAGCCTCCCAAGTAGCTGGGATTACAGGCATGTGCCACCACACCTGGCTAATTTTTGTACTTTTAGTAGAGATGGGGTTTCTCCGTGTTGGTCAGGCTGGTCTTGAACTCCCGACCTCAGATGATCCACCTGCCTCAGCCTCCCAAATTGCTGGAATTACAGGCATGAGCCACTGCACCCTGCCTTTTTTTTTTTTTTTTTTTTTTTGAGACAGAGTCATGCTCTGTTGCCCAGGCTGGAGTGCACTGGCATGATCTTGGCTCACTGCAACCTCTGCCTCCTGGGTTCAAGTGATTCTCCTGCCTCAACCTCCCAAGTAGCTGGGACTATAGGCACATGCCACGATGCCCAGCTGAGTTTTGTATTTGTTAGTGGAGACAGTGTTTCTCCATTTTGGCCAGCTGGTCTCAAACTCCTGACCTCAAGTGATCCGCCCGCCTCGGCCTCCCAGAGTGCTGGGATTATAGGCATGAGCCACCACACCCAGCTCGGGAATACATTTATAATTATAAATTGAGTCACACATTATAATTAAAAGGACTGTACTCTGACTCCCTTAGCAAGATACGAGGTCAATCACTGTCAAAAGTTTGGCTTTCATCTTTGCAGGCCTAGAAACTTGTCTGTTAGAATACCCATTATTAGGCTGGGTGCAGTGGCTCATGCCTGTAATCCCAGCAATTTGGGAGGCTGAGGTGGGAGGATCACTTGAGGTCCAACATTCGAGACCAGCCTGGCCAGCATGGTGAAACCCCATCTCTACTGAAAATACAAAAATAGCCAGGCATGGTGGCGGGTGCCTGTAATCCCAGCTACTCAGGAGGCTGAGGCTAGAGAATCGCTTGAGCCTGAGAGGCAGAGGTTGCAGTAAGTCGAGATTGTGCCGCTGCGCTCCACCCTGGGTGACAGAGTGAGACTCCATCTCAGGGGAAAAAAAAAAAAAAAAAAAAAATACCCATTATTGATCGCAGAGGCCGGAGGGGAAAAGGACTCAAGCTAAACTCATAGAAATGGCAATTTAACCATTTTTGATGGCACTTGACATTTTTTAGTGAGCCCTTTCATGGATATTTCCTTCTTGTTGTCAGCAGGCTAGAAAGCCACATTGGCTTACTTGGTGAGCTCGGAGTCATTAAAGGGAGGTAGATGACCTGGCTTATGGGATAGTGTCCCCAGCCATGGTGAGGCTGCTCCATCATAGCTCCACCTCTGGCTGTCTTTAATGTTCACCAGATTCAGGACATCTCACCTAGACAGTTGGACAGACTTTGCCTCAATTTTGTCTGTAAAAGGAGGCACTGACACATTTTGGGCCACACGCTTTGCATTACGGAGCTGGTCAGTTACTTGATAGGATTGATTTGTCATAGGATATCGTTCTGTCGGGTTTGAATAGGGAGAAGGAAGGCAGCAGCCAAATGAGGTATGGCACATAGGGTGCTGCAGGGAAAGTAGATTCAGGAGCCAGTTCCTGGGCAATTGGGACACAACAGGAGGTCATGAGGTGACAAGGGAGCCAGAGGCACAGGGAGAGAGGGAGAATGAATGGCAAGGCTTCACGTGACCTGTGTGTGGCTAGTGCTTCATTTATTAATTAATCATGACATTCTTGTGGTTGGGGCTATGATGGATGTTGTACAGAGAAGGTTCCTACATACTATCTAAAAGCATTTAATTTCCGAACTGAATTTATACGTTTAGTGTGCTTCTGAAATATGTTCGCAAAGTTTTTAAACATTTATTTTTTGATCTTGAGGAAGCAATGCTGAAGTTCATCTGCTAGGATGAATGTCTGAAAACAGCCAAAAAAATGTTCTCAGGCCAGGCGTGGTGGCTCATGCCTGTAATCCCGGGTGGATCATGAGGTCAGGCGTTCAAGACCAACCTGGCCAGGATGGTGAAACCCCATCTCTAATAAAAATACAAAAAAATTAACTGGTCGTGGTGGTGGGTGCCTGTAATCTCAGCTACTTGGGAGGCTGAGGCAGGAGAATTGCTTGAACCCTGGGGTGGGGGTGGTGGCGGGGCAGAGGTTGCAGTGAGCCATGCCACTTCCCTCCAGCCTGGGCAAAAGAGCAAAACTCTGTCTCCAAAAAAAAAAAAAAAAAGAAAAAAATTGTAAGGAAGAGAAACTATATTTACTCTTTGTTGAGTGGAAGTGGATCATCTGGATCTTCATCATCACATTGAGAAGGAGGAAGAGGGAGGGGGTTGGTCTTGCTGTCTGGGTTGGCAGAGGTAGAAGAAAGTCTGCACAGAAGTGGATCCCTGAAGTTCAAACCTATGTTGTTCAAGGGTCAACTGTGTAAGTAAAGTGCAAATTAGAAACAGTTTTCTTTCTCTTTTTTTTTTTTAAAACGGAGTCTTGGGAGTTTCGCTCTTGTCACCCAGGCTGGAATGCAGTGGTGCAATCTCGGCTTACTGCAACCTCCGCCTCTTGGGTTCAAGGGATTCTCCTGCCTCAGGCTCCTGAGTAGCTGAGATTACAGGTGAACGCCACCACACCTGGCTAATTTTTGTATTTTTAGTAGAAATGGGGTTTTGTCATGTTGGCCAGGCTAGTCTTGAACTCCTGACCTCAGGTGATCTGCTCGCCTTTGCCTCCCAAAGTGCTGGGATTATGGTGGTGAGCCACTGTGCCTGGCCAGAAACCGTTTCTATTGGATTTCAAAAGATAAAACATAATTCTCAATATTATGGGTGGGGGGACAGGTAATTACATGCATAAGACTACATTGTTGGCCAGGCACAGTGACTCACGCCTGTAATCCCAGCACTTTGAGAGGCTGAGGTGGGCGGATCATGAGGTCAGGAGTTTGATACCAGCCTGGCCAACATGACAAAACCCCATCTCTATTAAAAATACAAAAATTAGCCAGGCATGGTGGTTTACACCTGTAATCCCAGCTACTCAGGAGGCTGAGGCAGGAGAATCACTTGAACCTGGGAGGCAGAGGTTGCAGTGAGCTGAGATCATGCTATTGCACTCCAGCCTGGGTGACAAGAGCAAGACTCTGTCTCAGGGAAGACTACATTGCTGATATATACTTGTATTACTTTATAAAAAAGTGATTTGTCATTAGGTATCAAAAGCGATAAAAATATTTATAACCTTTGCCCCAGTGGAATAACCAATTTCACTAATAAGATTATCCTCAGGAAATAATTAAATATTGTGGTAAGATCTAGCTACTAAGATGTTTATAGTAGTGAGATACTGGAAATAATTTAAGTATTCAAGTGTTAGACATTAGTACATCTGTATAATAGATTACCCTAGCCATAAAAATTATCTCTGTGAATGTTCA